ATGGCCCAAGTTGGATAATTGCTGGGAGTATTATTTGTTTGTTTTATAATTAAGCACAAAGCTACACAATGGGCTATCTGTGCTCTGCCCACCACGGGTATCGAAACCCGGATTCCAGCGTTGTAAGTCCGCAGACAGACCGCTGTGCTACTGGGGGGCTGCTGGGAGTAACAAATACATAAGAATACGAAGATCAACATAAAAAATAACAGCTAGCTACAAACGTTTAAATGTATTCAATCTGTGACGGACTATTCATATTTAATTAAGGTAAAACTAATGATTTTGAATTTCCAATAACATTTCCATTAAAGAATAACTTCGTCTTGATACCAAAGTATTGTGGTCAATATTTTGATTTAATATCACACTTGCAGTGTTAAAAGTTGAAAGCAATAAATTTAACATTCCTGATAAAAATCATGCAGGATTGCTGATAATTTTTCCACGTTCCTGTTAATATGTTAATTAATGATTTAAAACCAAAAGTGTGTAAAAATACAATTATCATTTGTCTGCCATAGTGACACAGCGACATGTCTGCGGACTTATACCGCTAGAAACCGGTATTCAAGTTATTGCTTAATGACAAACAACAACTTGTCTGCCACAAAACACTGTCAACGAGGCTTCTTTTTCAATACCAGTAACTTGTCTTTCTATTAGTTTTGTTAGTTCGCGAGTTTTTGATGTATACATCTTAGCATTAACATTTAAATCGAATTTCAGATAAACCTTTAGCTGTGATAGTTCAGCCTAGCGACACAGCGATATGTCTGCGGAGTTATACCGCTAGAAACCAGTATTCAAGTTATTGCTTAATGACAAACAACAACTTGTCTGCCACAAGACACCGTCAACGAGGCTTCTTTTTCAATACCAGTAACTTGTCTCTCTATTAGTTTTGTTAGTTCGCGAGTTTTTGATGTATACATCTTAGCATTAACATTTAAATCGAATTTCAGATAAACTTTTAGCTGTGATAGTTCAGCCTAGCGATGTCCATAATTTTATCTTTACCCTCTTAATTCTTATTTGTTTCTCGACATAACTTGCCATGATTATTATAACGAAAAAAAACACAATTAAAATTAACTATAAATAAAATAAAGCTTGAGTATTTTTTTATGGTGAACAATAATAACCTATGGATAAATTTAATCACACCATATTTCGTATTCAAAGAAATAAAGATGCCTCTTTCTAAACACAAGATAATGTGTAAATCCTTCTGTAGAGATTGATTTAGAAATTATTGAGGTATTCATTCTCAAGCGAATAAATCTAGCCAGGAATACTTAAACTAACATTATCTCTTTGTGATATTAATTATGAAATTGAGTTTGATTTAAATGCCTAGGTAAAAAGAAGGACGTTGATAATTGAACAAGGTAAAAAACATACTTACTAATTCTTCTTTCCTTAGGTAGCAGTTTACTTATATCAAGAAAAACGCAGAAGTCTTTTGAAGAAAATCATATAGGAAGCGAACGTTTACAGAGCTAACACATCTTCACTAAGTTACAAACAGCTAGGTAGAGCGAAAAGCAAAAAAAAAAATGCTACGGTAACATAATGCCTATCGAAACCGTATAATTAAACTGGGGTGTTCATATTCAGCCATTCATAAGTTTAACAAAGATAAAATAATGAAATTGGGGGATGAAAAAAATATTATTATGGACTAGGGAGCGAGATACAAAAAACTATATAAAAGAATTCTTTTCACTGACAAAGAAATATGAACACATGATTATACCGAGGAGAAATGACATTTTAACAGGTAAAATAAAACCATACTACTCAGAAACACAAGAGACTGACAAGTTTAAATAATATTAGCTTAAAAAGAGCAAATAATTAAGAGTGTATGAATTGAAATAATCATGGACAAAAGAGATAAAAAGCTAGAATACAAATCGTTCAGACAATATCGCAATAAAATAATTCTGAAACAACATCGAAAAGAAATACAAATTATAGTCTGTTGAAGAGAAAGAAAGTGAAACAACCTAAAGAAATCAAATAACTGAATCTCTATATAAACTGTTTCATAACACCAAACAGTAATTTGTGATGGCTTTCTCTTGCCTTGTTTCTTAGTTAGAGCAATGATTACGTCACTCTTCTTCCCGTCTCCTACTCCCAACAAAGGGATCTAAACGTCGTCACACTCATGAAACAAGGGAGACGTTGCCCATTAGAAATTTCAACCAATCAGATAACATTATTTCATTATAAGTGTAGAGATCCTACGTTGTATTTCCTGAAGTTATTATCAAAAACTATTAGTCTTGGGAAAAAAATGTCTGTTAATACATTTACAAAAACAATTGAAATTAAACGTTTCTCTCTTTTTCTGTGTCACGTGCTATATCCTGCAAGAGGTTCTCTTGCTAATTAGTGAATAGATCAGTATGCTGTAAGATATCATATAAATATATGTTTCGAATTTCCTAATTGCGATTTTTTTTTATTGTTGTTCCTCTTCTTGTTGCAATTATGACACGTCTTTCCTGCTAGTACCATCCTGATATCGTAACAAAATTCAATGACGTTAGCAGTTTCTTTCACGAAAGCAAATGTTTTGCAGCTCATCCCAGTATGTAGCTGTTCCCGTTTTTCTAGATATATTCCGGATTACTAGACACAATTCCTTTTATTTAAGTGTTGGCTTTTTTATTTAAATGAATACTAATCAATTATGGAAGGTGATAGATCAATAAAAATGTAGGTTACATCTCAGCAAATGACGTTTGAAATCTACAGAGCATTGATGGTACCCTGACTACTGACAGGTACAAACACATTTTTATCCATAAAGTCATTCCCTCAGAAACAAGATCTGGTGAGAAAGAATCCATTTTGTACCAAGACAGTTTTCCAAAGCATGCATAAAATGTGACGAAACAATACCTGGAAGGAAAAAGAGATCGATGGAACACTGAAAACTGTGGCTTGGCCTACACAAATTTCCTATATGAATAATATTAGGGCTACGTAGTCTTATGTGGAAATATAGGAAGCCAAACGGTAACAAGACAATTTAGTTGAACTGTATGAAGTAAAACGGGTTATTTTGTAGAATATTTCAGGAATATACACTGATAAACGTGTAGTAGCATAAAAAAGTGTGCTACTCTGTTTAAAGTAAGTGGAGATAATAGTGAATTGTACAACTTATTCTGTTTTCTGTTGTATTTTCTGCAATAATCTATAATCCTAATGATGTATTGGCCATTTAGGTGCAATTACTCACTGTTTGTGACACCTGTGAGTGTATCACTTGAGAGTTTCCACAGTACTTTATATATTAGCACAAAATTTAAGTCAATTAAAATTATAACACTCTTTGATCATTAATTAAATTGAACAAGCTTTGTTCAGAGTTGTAGAGATAACCATATAAGTTTTTAATACTTACATTTAGAAAATTGATTTTGGTTTTTTAATGTACTGTTTATGATATTTTAAATTTTACAAATGATGTGAAATTGTCTCGACTTTTAGACAATGTCAAGAAGCTTTACCGATTACTCGCCGTACATAGCTCTATTCCCATTTGAAATAGATAGCAAAAATATTTTTAAGGAACTCTTACCAAAAACATTAAAAGCTTACCGAAATAAGAGAAAGCCAGTATATCAGGTCTAAATAAAATGCATTTAGTGACAAATATTTAGACTTAATTTGCATTATTTACAGTTGTTTAAATTTCATAAAACTAAGTAACACTGATGGTTAATAAAAACATTTTAACATTGACTTCAATCTTTTAATATGACTAACAATAAATACATTAGAACATCATTAAAAACATGCTGTTAAACCATAAGACATGAGAATCAACATGATCTTTTACCATCAAACTGCAAATTATTTTGGCTCATCTTTCATATATTTATCAACTAAAAAATTATCGATATTTTACTTTCATAAAACTCTTCAGGAAATATGTTTTAAAAGCTTCTGATAAGCCTCTGGTAATAAAAATGCCCCCCAGTGGCACAGCGGTATGTCTACGTACTTATACTACTAGAAACCGGGTCTCGATACTCGTAGTGGGCAGGGCACAGATGGCCCTCTTTGCCCCCCAGTGGCACAGCGGTATGTCTGCGGACGTACAGCGCTAGAAACCGTGTTTCGATACCCGTGGTGGGCAGAGCACAGATAGCCCATTGTGTAGCTTTGTGCTTAACTTCAAACAAACAAACAGGTGGCCCTCTGTATAGCTTTGCGCTTAACAACAAAAGTAATAAAAATCCTAAATCCAAAATACCGGAAAACAAAATTGTTTTAAGATTAATTTCACTCAACGCTTCAATGATTGTGTTCACTGGTAATGTTCCTTATTCAAAGAGCCGTTCTTCAAACAATAGACATAATCATGAACAATCCTACACGATTAAGCCACTCTACCAGCAGCTTGTTAAACTGTAATATTATATTGATGAGCTTACAAGATAATTTCATTCATAAGCTGGTTAAACTCCGTCACTACTAAACGAGAATCAGAATTCGAATAACACTTTTGTTTTTGTTTTCGTTCATTTGTTGGGTAACTGTTTGGTTCATTTGTTATGTAACTGTTTGATTCATTTGTTGTGTAACTATTTGATGTTATAACTGTCAAATTGAAAATGTAGTTAGTCGGTTTGTGTTTTAATTATGGTTTACAAGCTTCTGAGTTCTGACAGAAAATCAACCGTTCTCATTTAACAGCAGACATATAAATAATACGTATTTCTCACGAGAACGACACAAAACAAATACAACCACAAAAATATCTCGCGTGTTATAAGAGAGCAGTGTTTTAATTTTTTGCCTGAATTTAGTATATCGTTTCTTTTTGCTTGATAACTAAGTGGGTATGCCTTTATTCTCCATCTTGAATAGTGAATGAATAAATATATTCAGTTAAATTAACATTTTGAATAATAAACTGTTAAACTTTTCTTTCTATGTCGTAACTGTATATTGTTTACTCATTTCCGAGCCAGAGTTATACTGCAATGCCATCTGGGACGACTTTTACTGTTGGCCACCAACCCCAGCTGGCCAGGTGGTTTCAAGAACGTGTTCTGAGATTTTCGAAACCCTCCATCTTCAAGTAGATGCCGAATCAAATGGTAAAATGTTCATTCTGCTTTGAAACTACTATTTCATCTGTTTAAAACTATTATGAAGTACAGATATATTTTCTTAATACATATAATGATAACATATGAACTTCATAAAACAAATATATCAAAAAGTTGGTCATCTCCAATAACTTGTACAAAGAGAATCGTTGAAAATATGACTTTTTATCTCGTAGCATCATTCATCTATGTTGTTACTGAAGATGCCAACTTGCCTTATTGGTCGTAGGATGATATTGTTACTCGTACTGAAACAAACTGTGTTTTATCTCATTACATCACCCATATGTGTAATTAGTCGTGTCTATGTTGTTGTTTAACTCACCCATTTGTATACGTACTATCTTATTGGTTGTAGAATGATATTTGTACTGAACCAAACTGCATTTTAGCGCAAGATGTATTTGGCATCTATTCATATTAACGTTGACGACCTCTGAGTTTGACAAGTAGTCTAAGCCTCGCCATTAATCATTGTTGTTCAAAATGAAATAAGAACTTATTCTTTTATTCTATAGGCGCCAAAGCCTACAGAGTATGCGAAGAAGACGCTTCGTGGCTACGGGGAAATTGGACTAATTACACGGCGTGTATCGTATTAATAAGAGAGGTAAATACTTTACTCTTGGCTGATAAAAAAAAGTTGAAAGAACAGATATACACTGGCAATCAAAGCGTCTTCTTAAGACAGAAGTAATTTATACCATGTAACGTGTTTTAATTTTAAGTCATAATAATAAGGAAATGTCACATGATACAAAACGTTGAAGCCTCTTGAGACGACCTTGTATCTTAGTGTAAATGGTCATTCACGAATATTATGAAATGTACAAAAAATGCGGAATCATCATTTAGGGTAGAGTAAATTAACTTTGTTTGTGAATTACAATTAATTATTAAGAGTAATATTATGTACTGCTATTTATATAAATATATTTATTTTATTCTTCTACAGGATTCGATAGCAGCGCCCCTGGCGGTAAGCTATATCCTCTTCATCTGTTCAGTCTTGTCGCTTATAGCTCTTATCATCACCCTCTTCATCTTTTGTTATTTCAAGTACGTATGATTGTATTTTGTTATTAGTCAGTTAATTCATAAATGTATTGTATTTTCGGTAGATTTTCAGTTTGCACTAGGAAATAGGCAAATGTGATTATATTCATATTAAAACCTAGAACTGTATATATCCATCTATCTATATTATACAAACAAAACAAGCATGTTAATTTTAGAATGCAAAGAAAGCATCACAAAAGAGAACGTACAGAAGGAAGACACACGTTGTAGTTGGAGTTGCTGTATTCTCCGAATAGAACAACAAAAAAATGTTTCAATCCATAATGCCCCAACTTAAGTTGCAGTTTACTATCTACAATGACGTGAAAGGGTGTAATCACATCCAATGAAGTACGAGAAGAATAAATTTTAATTAAGAAGTTAGCACACAGGATCACATACAAAAGTTGTAATGTTTTACAGACGTGAAGCATAAATTATAATTGAGAAGTTAGCACACAAGATCACATACAAAAGTTGTAATGGTTTTCAGACGAGAAGAATAGATATTAATAAAACAAGTCATTAAGGACAGGCTTACATTAAGACCAATTCTTTAAAGCTGACATGCCGCTCCTGTAAAGGCCAAAACCTTTTTTAATAGATAAAAACTTCATGTGACTAAGTAAAAGAATATTAAAACTATAATACTGACGAAATAGAATAAGAAACTACTCAATCCCAATTCTAGCCTTGACAAAAGTATTGTAAGAATGAGCGCTTCCTTGTAAACGCAAGATTTTATGTAACCAATCAGACACTTTAGTAAATGAAGGTTCATTTAAAACATGTATTTTATAATGAAAATAAAGTAACACATACATTTTCATTTATATAAGATTTTTATTAAATGTTGCATTATATCAGTAATTCATTACAACCTATATATTTTTATTGTCGAAATATTTGAAAATTCGATTAATTAATAAAAACAACAAAAATATTAAACTTCATGAGCGAAATCATTTAAGATATTAAATATCGAATCGTCTCTTCAGCTTTATAGCTTTTTTTTTCAATCTTACTGAAAAAAATGTCCTCAGATGTTGGTTGCTGTTTGTAATTAAGCACAAAGCTACCCAATGGGCTATCTGTGCACTGCCCACCACAGGTGTCGAAACCCGGTTTCTATCGTTATAAGTCCGCAGACACACCGCTGTTCCACTGGGCGGCAAGGATTTAGGAATCCATTACTTTTAAACTTGTAAACGTTTTACTTTTGCAGCATCTGAGGCCCCCCAGTGGCACAGCGGTATGTCTGCGTATTTACAGCGCTATAAACCGGGTTTCGATACCCGTGGTTGGCAGAGCACAGATAGCCCATTGTGTAGCTTTGTGCTTAACTTCAAACAATCAAGGCCCGGCATGGCTAGGTGGTTAGGGCGCTCGACTCGCAATCTGTGGGTCGCAGGTTCGAATCCCCGTCCCACCAAACAT